TTTTAATTTTACATTTTCAGATGATGGATACATCGTGGAATATTCATTAGAATACAATTTCTTGCGATTATCGCCTGCAGCTCGGCAGAGATTGAACATCCCAGTTAAGATCGTTACTTTGGATTCATTAAACGACAAACGTTTAGGCGATGCTTTTTTAAGATTGATCCTAAATGAATTTCTGGGCTATGACGATTTGTTAATGGCAAGCATCTAAACGTTAATGGAACACGAAGATAACAAAGGTTTCCTGCGGTAACTTTTTNACGAAGATAACAAAGGTTTCCTACGGTGACTTTTTTTTAAATATGAAGTAACGTTCATCAATAGAAACGTTTTAAGACATATTAATCTTGTAACTATTATAGTAGTTATACGGTTATAATCGCCTAGTCCAAAACAGTAACTACGACGACAACGTTTCATTTTGTTTAATAATTATAACTTCAACTATAATTATAATTTCTCTAGACTTATGTTTATTTACACGAATTGGTGTTAATTAACATCTCTAATGGTAAAGATTACCATAGATTTCATTCTTATAAAATCATATCACTATACGAGCATATATTATAAGATAAATAAAACAAATATGGCTGTTTGAATATTTCTAGATTAGCTGTGTAATTGTCAAAATGATTTTATCGTTTATACGGTTTTTCAAATCTAGATTTATAAATCTTCATCTTTTCGAAAATATATGTAGACTAACAACAACTGGNTATGGCTGTTTGAATATTTCTAGATTAGCTGTGTAATTGTCAAAATGATTTTATCGTTTATACGGTTTTTCAAATCTGGATTTATAAATCTACATCTTTTCGAAAATATATGTGGACAACAACTGATGTTGTAATATTGGTGTCAAGTACCATTTACACAACATTTTCATTAAGGATTCTAATTACAGTTGTTACTAAATCGGATTAGCGTTGCTGTATAAACGTAATGAATCTTAGGATACTGAAAGTTGTAATGTTGGGCTAAGAAACAATCGTAGCTTTGGGCATCACATGGTCGTTTTTGGCCAGATATTGTGGTAGAGAATAAATTAACAATCGACAAACATTGAAAAGATTACCGTATTAAATTCTTCAATTTGTCAGTTGTAGAAATGTGGTAACCGGAGAACACTACCGATTCGTTAGCATGTGAATGACGCGAACCTCGTACCTCGCTGCATTCTT